GTTATTCAATCAAGCGAATTAGAGCTGAATTTATAACTATGTCGAGGTAATGACTTTGCGGTCCAATGCAAAATACTGACAAAGGCTGACTTGATATTAATCCGTCATTTTGCACTTTATTAACATTCCTTTCTGCAATATCTACAATTCTAAATTCTGTTTTAAGTCTTCGCGTGATAGAATTATTTCCGCGATAGAAGAAAAAGCTGCAATATCTTAAAGCAGAATTACGTATCATCCGTTCGACTTCCGCGACTGCGTGTGTGTAGGTGGGACTGTTTTACATATTCTGCGGCGTAAAGTTTAAATTTTGGAAAACCATGCGCTGCGCGATATATTATGTTTCGAAATTGATACGTAGGTGTGAGTTTACGATACAAGCCAAAAAAACGAAGCATGTTCTGTTTTTCTCTCGATTTCACTTCTGATATCGCCATTTCGATCTTTATTAATCGTTTGCAATGCACACAAGTAAACAGATTTATACGAATTGATGTAAATAAATAAATAATACATGTTAACTTCGCAGTACGTCTTACGTAATTTTTTGATAGCGGATTTAAGTGATACAATATGTTCAGAATATTCCATGACATCTTTAATCTTCCATGGGATATAAATCATTTCATTACAAAATGCATTCTTCTAGTTATTGACCTCGAATTAGAAAAGATATCGTCTAATGCTCCGTTTTGTCTACGAAGACTGAGCCAGGCTACACATTATCTTTCAACGATTGTCTCCTTTGTTCTAATCACAGGAAAGCTTTATCGTTATCGTAGCAACGGTTGACTCAATTCATCACCAATTTGCATATTGCGATTTACCGATGCGAATTTACGCAATTTATTTTACGACATATAATTTCTGTACTTTACGACATTTCTGTAAATAATATATAAATTTTGAGATCTCCTTTAAATTATCCATGTTACCTAAAATTCCCTTGATTTATATTATTTTTAATCTCTTTTTATATTTTCTGACATATTAATCACATATTAATATGACGTATAATTTCACTCTATTCTTTAAAGATTACAGAATTGTAATAATTTATGAATATCAATAGAGAATAAAACGCCTAAACAAAATATATTAACATGCGTATTGATCTTTGCTGAATAATTTAGTAATAAAAACCTACGCAAGAGCAAATCTCCAAGCGAGCACTTGTGTCGTCTCGCAGACAAATGAGTTACAGCTATACTTTGGAGGTGTTAAAACAAGATATTTCTATAGGAAATATTTGCATATAAATATTTCACTTTTAGTGAGCGTAAGATAGTGTATGAAGCTAAATGGTTCTAATAGGTGTAATTTGAATTAAATTTTTGTACAGTGTCTTATTTTATAAAAAATACTTGTATAAATAAAATAATGGAAGCAAATATAAAAAAAAATATACATAATAATTGATAGAAAAATTAAATCTATGTTCCGTTTGTTTTTGTACAATATTATCTCATTGGCATTATTAATGCAATATACGGGATGTTTCAGAAAAATGCTAATAGATCTTGAAAATGATCGAATTTAGTAAGCTTCTGCCAGAACACATGGTACTTGGTGCATTTTTCTTAGTTCGCGTAAACTATTTATTTTACACTGGTTGGAATTTTAGGGGACGATTCCGCTTGATACGAAGCGGATTCTCACGATTCTGAATGACTTTGGCATAATGGTGAGTGACCCCCCATTCGAGGGGATAAAAAGGCACATAAAAATCAGGGTCCATTGGCTACTGGCCACTGTCATTTCTCCCCTCTTTTGTGCCGGACATTTTCTTTCATGTTTTCCGCAACGAATACGTCCTCTGCCCCGGCGTCGAAATCGCCCACATACTTGTCTACCGGGTGACTTCAACGGTATCGGCAGGTATGAGCAAAAAATTTCGTCATTGTGTAAATCATACAAATTATTAAATATTATCATATTTAATTATTACGCAAAATAAGAATTTATACAAATAGAAAAATATTATTCGTGAGAGTGTAATAAAAGTTTCAGAAAAACTTCTCTACGGAAACTTTTATCACTTATATACTGTTACACATATAAATAAGTATATGTGACAATTCTAGAATTATTTAATTTTGTCGAAAACTAAAAATAAAAAGCTTGTCTAAAAAGTGCAATACAAAATTTAGCATGAAAGTGATTAATGTTTCGCGGTAACACACGAAACACAACCGGAATGGAAGAGCGTATCCTGCGGTCAGCGTGTAAGAGTATACGCATCGTCATCGATTAACTGGAATGCTGTAACGTCTATTTTGCAACGAGATTATGTCAAATAGCTGCAGTTTCAAGCTCTCGAGTTACGGCTCGGCGCTCAGAGTCATGCTGATGGGTGCTTTCCACGTAGGGCTCTTACATTACTATCGGCTTCACGCCCGATTTAATCATCCGTTACACATCGCCCGATCTTTCCCCTGATCGCTATATGAACCGGTTTATACACCACAAACTTTTGTGTTAGTTAAACGCACGTTGTATTCGTAGCGGAATCACGTTACACTCGTCATCTACCACCCACGGAGAGTTTTGTGGAATTGATTTGTTCAGATACGATTTTCAAACTAATTTTCAGCGATTTTCTTTATAAGCACATATTTCACGCGCGTATTAAATATTTTAGAAATATATATATGCTTTGCAATTAAAATTAAATTTATATTTTAATTTTATTCTATTGCAGTATTCAAAAATATTTAATATAAAACGTTTTTTGTTTCAATATATACTATTAAATGTATTATAAAAAATTATGCTTTTTATATATTCATAACGTGATATATCTATTAAAATTGCAATCTGTGATAAAACAACTGATAATGAAAACATTAAAAATTTTTTTTCGTTCTTATATGTTAAAATAATTTTTTCAAACATGATATGCAAGCAACAAAATTTCAAGTCATCTCATAGATGATTCAGAGCAATTCAGTAACGCCTTAAGACATAAAAAGAAATTTGTATGTCATCTTGAATATTTATCGCGTCAATAGACATAAACAATATGTGTCAAGACCATAGCGATGCGTTCAAAAAGATAGAAAGTAACAATCTTCTCATCAGTGCTTGGTTAAGATTATAAAAAAATTGAGAATGGCATAGAGTTTGCTTAACAATCTATAATATCTTTTCTTCCTTCTATTGTAGCAAATTTTATTTTTTTTATTCGTGATTAAAAAACACCTATCATCTTTTAATGCAATCGTTTAAGCGCACGCTGGAGAACTGTAATTAAATAACTTCAAATTAGACATATTTTTTTCATAGGTAAAATATTTGAAATTTATTACTTTAATTAATTAAAAACCGATAGATATCGATAATATCGTTTGAGAGTATAAGTTTTCGATCGACAAATGTAATTAGCCAGGCGGATGACTGACGATTGATATCATTTCGGTGCAGAACAAGCGCGCGATGTATCACGCGTGGACAGACGCGCTAATCTCATCGCGAATATTTATGCCGCGGTGCAAAGGCAGGATCGACTGTTCAAAGCGCTCGTCTAACGTTCCCACGCATTGTCCGGTTAGCACGAGAGGCTGGAATTAGACTCCGTAGAATCTATCTAAGAGCGACAGCAGAGTTGCCCCAGATGTGGAGCGATATCAGACTATTCCTCCGGCACATGTCGTTTCTTATCCGTTAACAAAACACACCCACATTCATTAATACTCGAATGGCCGAGAGTTGATGGTTGCTTAGAACAATGGTTTCCTATTTTATGAACAAATAAAAATAAGAATTGGTCTATAATCAATGAATTATCATACCGGAAAATTAAATTGTGATAGTAATTATGATGTATCTTTGATAGCACGAAACTAAAAAAATTCTAGCGTTAAGCCATACAATCGACATCCGTCGAGAAAGAAGAAGTCAATTTGGATTGAAGATAAACAAAGTATTATCGCGTGATTCTGACATCACGTGTTTTACAGTCTACCACAAATAAACGCTCGATTGAAGAGCGCTGAAGTTTGAGAAGTGACTTTCACAGAGATTCCTCTTGTCTTCGGTGCGCTCACTGTTAGCACTGACAGCTGATTTCCGCACTTATGAATCATCATGCAAGATGGTAAAAAATAGAATAATAGAATGTAAATTGATAAAAGGTATTTAATTACTATATTATTAATTATTTAATAATATTATCTAAAATTTAAGGTAGAATAAAAAATATTAAAATGTTAAAAAAAGGGTAAAAATAAAAAAAGATAATTTAGCAATTTTCATTAAATTTAGTAATTAAAGGATTTTGAGGTTATTGACTTTGATATCAGTATCTCCAAATTCAAAATGGCGGTTCCAAAATGGCCGACTAAAATGCAGAAAGCAGTCAGTGATATTTTTTTCGGAAATTTTTGCCGAATATAAAAATTTAATTATTTTTTAGAAAATTAATTATTAGATAACGCTATTTTTAAAGAATTTATGTCAAATAATTTTTGATCGAAATATTAATCTAGATTTTTATTAAATTTTATTAAATGCAGGTAGATTAAGAAACGAGATTTATTCTCGTGATAGACAAGTTATAAAATTAATGAGAGATAATTGTCGCAAGTCGAGATTACATGGTCACAATTCGTATTTTTGTATTCGTGTCGACGATGTCTACGACGGTAATATTGACGTCTAAAAACAATGGTAATCCGATCAACGCGCGTAAAAATTCGCTGTATGGAACATCGCTACGACGATACCATGCGTGATTTATGCGCATTCAACTTCCGGTTCTCCAATTCGCGCGGATCATGAACTGACATTTCCATCGTTCCGACCCCACCATCGTGCCAATCGCGCGCCATCCACCTGACTCCGATGTGTCCCTCGAGCTGCAACCCTCGTGCTCGCGATAATCACGAATAAACGCGGTGCATCCTTCGCGCCGGACCATCGCTCGATCGTAACTCCTATCCCACACGGCTTTCGATGCGGGTTTCCGCGAGCGATACAATTCAAGGACATTTCTTACTCACCACAGCCTCGACGACCGGTATCCACGTGGCGAGCACCAGTAGGGCAAGGACGCAGGTGATTCGCAGGACGAGCGAGATCGGCCGCGAGATGCCGCGACTCGCGTCGCCGGTAGTTGTCGACGTCGTCGCGGCCCTAGGCCGCATCGTGCCCTGGCCTCCTCTCTGTCTTCCGCAATGGGTCCGCGGTCCTGCGGATCGACGATCCTGAAGAGTCCGCTCACCTCCGAGTCCGAGTGCTTCTCGCGCTTTGGCTGCGTCTCACGTCTTCGAGAGAAAGAGAGAGAGAGAGAAAGAGAGAGAGCGGCGTCCAGAATCCTCAGCAAACGTTGTGCGGCTCGGCAGTATATCGCGCTGGAACCGTGCCGGCTAAGTTCGTCGTCGTCGGCCGGCCTGTCGGCGCAACGCGATGTTAAAGGGCCAGACAGTCGGCCTGGTTAGCCCGTCCTCCTGATCGCTCGGCGCTACACACAGACGGGCGGACACGAGGCAGGCCCGAAGGCAGCGGAGGAGGTGCGCTCTTTCTTTCTCTCCTCTTCTTCTCTCCTCCCCGTCGTCGTGTCTCTCCCTCTTTATCGCTCTTTTCCACCGTCGCTCCCCCGCCGAGTCCGCACGCTCCTTCTCACTCTTTTTCGTCGGCGGTCTGTATCCTTGCGCGCGCTCGTCGGACTCTCGCGGCACGCTCGACGGTGGCGCGCGGCCTCCTCGATACTCGGGCCCCGCTCTGCCCCGCTCGGCCAAGTTCCGTAAAGCTCGAGCTCTGGTTGAGGCTGGCGGCTCGGAACCGGCGCGACCGACACCGGTAGAGTCTCTCGCGGCCGCGCAACAGTCCTCGTGCGACGCGCGACCACGCGAGCGAACGCTCGGATCGGAGGCGGCCAGCGACGAGTCCACCACCTTCTCTCCTTCTACTCCTTGCCCGATCCTCTCTTCCTCCTTCTCTCCTTCTTCACTTCTCTCTTCGGCTGTTTCTTCTTCGTTCCCCTACCAACCCTGGAGAGACGGCACACGTCCACTCGCACGTTCCTTCCTTCCCTTCCTCTTGCGCGCCCGTTTCTTCGCCTTCTTCTTCCTCTTCTGCTTCTTCCCGGCTCGCAGATCCGGAGTTCGACCGGAGGCAGGCAGACAGAAGACTCCGACGGCGTTTCTCGCAGAAGCGAGAGAAGAGCAGAGTGTGTGGGAGAGAGGGGACGATATTCCCCCTCGTCGACGTCGGGGCGAACGAAGCGAGTGAACGAGCGAGCAAGCGAGCGAGCGCGTGCGACGTCGCCCGTCTCGCGGAAGGTCGGGAGAAGGCTCTCTCTTCTCGCCCGGTCCTTTCGGCGGAGGAATTCTAGCTGGCGTGGCTCGGCGCGGCGGCCGCCTCCACCTTCCTTCTTTCCCTCCACCCGGAGTCCATTCAGAGTCCTCCCTGGATGGGATGGTCCGCATATACCATCGGTCTACTCGGTGCCCGGTCCCGCGCGATATTTTGTGACTGCCTCTGTCTGTGCGGTGCTCGTGACTTTAGCCTGTGCTTCTCGGCTCCCTAGATCCGTCGAGGAATAGGGAGGTCGACATGACCCAGTTGGGATTGCGGTGAGTTTGCTTTGCTGATCTCGTTTTCTCTCTCCCTTTCTCTAATTCCGTCGCGTTCCTCCGATTCCTTACCCTTGTTCGTCTCGTCCGGTGTTTCCGGAGCCGTCGGCTCCCTTTTTCTTCCTCTTTTACTTCCTCTTCGTCTTCTTCTTCTTCTTCTTCATCCTCCGAATGTCCTTTCCGTTGTTCGTCTCGTCCTGGCTCGTTGCCCGACGGGCCGACCGTGGCGATCCCGTTGCTTCACGGAGGGGATAGTTTCACCCCTCGTTGCGCGCAGGCTTCCACGGAAAGGTGAGAGAGAACCCCAAGGACGTGCGCGAGGCGAACCCGCGTGCGCGCAGGAGATCGTCCTCCCGATCCGACGCAGCTCCGACGCAGCCGCAAATCGTGTTCTCCGCACCTCTCGCGCTTCCTCATCTTTCTCATTCACGCGTATTTTTTCTTTTTTTTTTTTCTTTTCTTGTGTGCCTTAAGTTCCTTTACCTTCGGTGACGAATATTTACTCTGCTTCTTGCCTCGATGACGTCGGACCTTCACGAGGTAGAACGATTCCTTACGAAACGTCCGCTCCGCACTTTGAACTCTCACAACTTGACTCGCGCGGTTCAACGTCGACTTTACTCAAGTGATGTGCATAAGAAAAATTGTATATTTTTTAAAAGAATGTTATGTACGTAACTTTTGAAAAATTTAATGCGCTCCATCGCAATGTTGTTGCAAAATGTTTTTTAAAAAAGGATTTGCGATATGCATTTGTGCGATGCATTTTTACTTCTCATCGCGTTGTTTTATCTTTCTTTTCATCCGGCTTTACGCATTTATACGAGTTTTCAAAATAATATCCCAGTGTACCTCTGCTTTCAGATTCGTCGCAACCGCAGTTTGCCTGGCCGGGATTGCTAGTGCGGTATGTACAAATTCATGTGTGATCGCTTTCTTTTCTTCGCGAGTGATTATGATATCATCAAATATCGTAACAATATTTGAATTATCCGTGCAATGCTCATCTATTTTTATAAATTTTTTAGAAGCTTAGATTTTTTAAAGCTGTTTATTTTTTATAATATGTGTCGCAGAATCCAAAACTTAAAAAATAAAAACAAAAAAATATACATTACGTATTTTGCTCGCGATACCTGAATCATCAAATAAACTCCGCGTTGCTATCTTCGCGTTTTTAAAACTCTCCGCTTGCTTAACGCTTTTGTGAATGGACGCGGTTTTTATCGCGATTAGTTATATTACAAGAATTTTCTGTTGGAAGAATCATCGGTATGCACAAGGAAAGTAGACGAATGCCGCAATCGACGCTGCATTCGATTGATATCTCCCGATCGATCGGGAGAACAATTCCACCGTGGCGGAAATTAAATCGGAAATTGCTGACGTTATTTGGGGATGGTGTTTTCATGTTGACTCGCGTGTACCTGCGATCTTGCGGTACACCGTGTTCGCGCGACCGGTTCGACTGCTCGCGGCTTATTTCGATCCATTCATCGAGTGCGTATATACAATACCTTGCGCCCACTTGACGCACGGCGTTCGTTGTAAGCTGATTGCGTTCGCAGCGACGTGCAGGCACGTGTACCCACGTTGCGTCGCGTTGTAGTTCGCCGTTTGTTTGTCGAGTGAAAAAAAAAAAACGAGTCTGGATCGAGTGCTATCGCGTTTCACTCGTGGTTGTAGAACGCAGTTCGACGTAGTCGCCGAGGGCGCGTGCGGTTTGGACACGCCGCCACCTGTGAAGAGAGATTTTATCGCGATTGCTGCACGTACGCACCCACGCTCGTCTCCCGATAAAGATATTTGTGAAAAACATATCTTCCTTATTCTCCCACGAAATATTCGTGCAATTCAATTTTAATTTCCTAATTTTTACGATTTATTATTGTCGAAGAAATCAATCTGCGCTCTGCAAAGATATATTGTTAAATAAAAATAAAAATAAAAACTCTCGTAATTAAATAATTCTTTAAGATTCCGTGTATTGTTGAATTTTATGATAATTTCGGGACATCTTGCACCCTCGCTTTGAATACGAAACATTACGCATTGTCTTTCGTCTGTGAAACATTCGTTCGTATGCGAAATATCATGAAGGGGAGGAGGGTTCGTACAAGTGGCGGAGTCTGTATTTTAAGCGCGTTGCATACTACTCGGCGATAAGAATCGTTTTATGGAAAATTACCAGGCGTGTGACAAATATAGCGGTGATTGTAGAGGACGTAATAAAAGTGAGCAGAATTTCGCTAGTTTGTATTAATTGGTTGTTCGTTTGTTGTATCACAATTAAGGCGGTGTAATGCAGCACGCAAAGACAAAACAATCTACAAGTGATAAAATGTGTTGATCTGTTATTTATAGTTATGCGACCTATATATTTAATTTCTCTTTTTTTTAATCAAGAGATATAAAGACATATCTAGTGGATCTCTTAAATAAATTTGGGTCGAATAATTTCCGGGAATGTCATTCACATATCCGGTTAAAGCATCGTTAAAGTCATTTCAAATCAAGACATATCAACGTAGGCGGCTTTATCATCCAGTGAATGAGATGCAAGCACGTGTAATATTCGCGTAATTGTGCATGTTTATAAAAATGAAATAAATAGAAATTTTTCTAAAAATTAAAGATTTTCGATTTTGCAAAATTATAGAAGCGAATTATTCAGAATTTTAATTATTTATTTTCCAACAACCTATATCGAGTATTTCATAAAAAAATCTGTGAAATAGATAAAAAGACTTCTAAAAAAGTAGATTTCGAAAATTGCCTGGTATCTTTCGCTGTCTATAGTAGTGCCGTTATGGTAGCCCGACTACCAGGTGCTTCCTCTATATATTACAGTCATTCGTGCTGCCCTTTCGTAGCCTTTCTTCGGCTCAGTTCCTCGAAACGCTCGATCGCAGTCAAATAGCACAGTAGGAAGCAGCAGGATTCTGCTTATAAAATGATGTCAGCAGGGTTCTCTGTATACACATATGATGTTTATATATATTTGTGGGTGCAGTACATAGACTGTGTGACAGACGGTCTTTCTACACACGTACAATCGCCTTGCGCATAAAATACGCAAATTATCTAGAAAATAAACAAGTTGTTGCTTATTTTAACGTCTTTCTGTTGAACGCACAAAAAACTATTCGAACTATATCTAGAAGGCGCTTCATATATCATATTTAAATAGATTTTTAGAAATTTTTAAATATTTTATAAATTTGTTCGTAGAATCAAATAATCAATGTAGGTCAGCGGAAAATAGATAATTAACATGCTGCAAATTACAATTGCATTCTAGTACAAATTCCTCCTATTCGATCGTCGTAGTAGCCCCTCTGAAATTTTACATCTATCGGTTTATCCTTCGGCGAGGACTCGGACAACAGGAACGGGAAGGTGTTAGATCCGAAATAGGGCAGTCCGTTTCTTACGGAGACTAGTCCGCCTACGGTGCCGTAACTGCGCTAGCTGTAATTTTATTACGCCATGTACGCGCGCGTGCACCACACACGCGAGCCGGCTTAGTCACTACTGGAAATAGTCAGCAATTGAGCGCTCGGGACTTGATTTCGCCGTCTCTCGCAGACTCGTCGGAGTCCTGCGGGGGCGCGCAAGCAACGAGGTGAAAACAGGCAACGTCCCGGCCACCTGTTTCGCGACGTTTACATTTTTCGTACAATTCCTCTCTTACGTCAAGAGAACGTTTTAAAGTAAATTCACAGGGATTTTCTCGAAATTTATTTACGTCGTGTAATTTGTGTCGCAAAATAAGCATCCGTCCAGTCAGCGATCTCGCCGCATAGATATGACGAACTAGCGATTGTTTGATATCGGAGAAGCGATACCTGAGACTTGAACTTCGAACAGCGCGTGCTTCTTTTTTTCACGCGAAACTTTCTCGCAAGCAATTTATTCTTTTTAACCCTTGGACGGCGAATCGCGGACGGTAGTGATACGTTGTGACCTATACCGATTTTTACGTTTTATTCCCATTGTAGAAATATAATACTTCGATTTAGACACTTTTTTCTTTTCAAAATTTTGCGTGTACAATTGATTGCAGAAATACTAGTTCAACGCTGTCCGCCTTCAAACTATAAGAATAAAAATAAAATAATAAATCTTTACTCTATTCAGTTATGTAATTGTTGGAATATAAAATGTTAAAAGTATATTTAATACTTTTCTATTAAATTTCTCTCGAAAAGTGTTGAATAAAAAGAAATCAAAAAGATTTATCAGAGATTCTGCATTTAATAAGAAATTCGTGTCTTTTAATTGCCAAGTATTACATAAGAACGAGGGTCGACATTATAAAATTCACGAAGTCAATAATTCTGCCGTGGCAGTCGACTTGTCGTTAATTAATTGAATTGCAAATTTCGCCGCGTCCCTTAAACGTCCGCGGTGAATTCCTTGTCGCTGCAGCGAGCCAGATTAAAATCGGCGGACACATCGGAATCTCGCCATCCGACGCTGCCGCCATCCGTGCATTATGCTCATGAATACGCGTGGTGCCGCCACGGGATCAGAAAAAATCTCGGGTAACGAATTAGCGTATTCTGCGTCCCACGTAGAGTTAACGTCAGCGTCAGCTGCGATCGTTAAGCACGACCAGACTCGGATGTGACGGCGAGAGATGAAAAAGAGACGCGGGCGGGTCGAAAGACGGCGGAAAAAGAAGATAAAGAAAATCAAGACGAGCAACCGGTAAAGACGAAGAAGAAGGTCGTCGGCGAAGGGACGAGGGAGGGTCCGTCGCGAGGGGACGCGAAGCGGGACCATCATCGTGGTCGCAATATACTCAGCTCTCCGGTTGCGTTGCGCAATCGTGGATTCACGAAGGCGGCCGAGATAGGCGATAAAAGGGACAATTCTTGAACCGTCACGAAAAGATATCTCATATCTAAAATAAGAGAATTGGGTTAAGCGTTTTGTTAAACGAAATTGCTAGCGAGCGCGTAGATCGTCCTCGTACGAGCGAATTTCTATCAGCCGGTCTCGTAGAGCCGTTTTCTTCTCGTTCGGCGGCCTGTCCACTGGTGTAATGGCTGCAAATCGACCGATCAGCATCGAAGAACCTTGATTTGGGTCGAAGGACGTTAACCCGGCTTGGTCACGGTGCTGTATCACGCGTCGCCAAGTTAATGTGCATGATTTTCGTTCGTGGCAAACAAGAAGCTCTCTTCGGTTGGTGCGAGAATATGCTATTGCATTTTTTGAGTTGCGAACGTAAGAACATATTAAATCCGTTTTAACGAAAAAATATTTATTTCTTCAATGAACGTGCAACGAATTTTTCTCTAATAAAAATTGAATTTTATTCGCAGCTTTCTCGCCGTCTAATTTTTAATATTAGATATCTTGGTAAACTTTAAAGAGTAAAATTTCATTAATTTTTAATATATTTTTACAGTAAAAACAACACAAATTTTTAAATTTCTCTGTATGTTTTTTTTCCTGATCTTTATAATTTCGAAGTTAATATATCAAATTATGTTAAAATTGTTGCATTCTGTTATTTCTTATAGACATTTTATAATTATAAAGTTTATTTATCCATTATTCGTGTTAATTCTTTGTATAGTTATTTTATATAGTTATTTGTATAAATTATTTTTTGCATAGTCGTTACATATAAGAGAACAGCTTGACGTGCGCGATTCATATCCGAGATTGAAAGTGCTAAGCGGTCTTCTAATCCACGCATTATCCGGGCGCGACATCAGCTCGTGCTGGCAGTTATCATCTGCATAATTCATGCATCGCGTAGCGTTAGGCAGGATAATTTCACGGTTTGCAGATTTGCAGCGTGGCGCGCCGCGCTCTATCCGTACAGTGTGGCCGATCTATTGTTGGATGATGGGTTTATCATTGAGACGAAACCGCCCCGCACATCGCTTTCCTGCCAGTTAGGGTTTACCGACCGACACGAGCTACTTCCGCTTCGGACGGCTTTGATTTCTGTTTCCCCTTTCACGCGAGTTGCGCGGACACGGTGACGTATGAGCGCGCAATAAGTCGAAATTGAATGTATATATTGATAGAGAGATGGAACATCGACGATTTCACGGTGCTTTGACGTGAGCCATTTGCGCGATTTACGAGGCACGCTTCTGTATCATCAGATTTTGTGGTGGATCAAATTTAAATCGGAATCAGACGGGATTAAATGAATAGATACATTTGTGACATTATGACACAGTGACATAGTGAATTTGAGAAGAATAATTCCAATTAGAGAATTTTGAACGAAAGATTTTCTGTGAAATAAATCGATTTTTACATCTGTGTTTTTTCTAAATTATAAAAAATATATATGCATGCTCTTGTGGTCATTGGGTTTTGTGACAGATTAAATCCAGCTTCATCGGAATTAGATAGAGGATTAGTGTTCGATGGACGAATAAGTCTATGACGAGATAATTCGAGGAGAATTATTCCAATTTGCAACGCAAAGATTGGAAACAAAATTTTTCTATGGGATGGATCGATTTTTTTAACTATGTTTTTTTTAATATCTTATGATGGATCTAAATAAAACAATAATATTCAAATAACGTTCCACTTTTGAAGCTTCTCTTTTCCCATTTTCGCAGTCGCAAAATTCATTGATTTTTAGTGTTTTAAGATCCATTTTGGTTATCGCTTCGTGTGATATCTCGTCCAGAATAAATTCTGACTGTGAAGGTAAAAAGTGATCAAGTGACGGGTTGTCAATTGCAAAACCTATCGTAATATCACGGTTACTCTGATTCTACAAAAAATTCCGCAGTCCATCATCTGAATCGGGCTTCGGTGACTTCATGCGTCTGCGAGAACTAGCCCGAATTTCACAGTGAGCGCGGATGAATGAAATTTTAAAAAGACGCTCTATCGTCATTCTATCGCCGCGTATACGGTACATGTGTGCCACAGACGTGCAGCCACTCCGAGGGCGGTACGTCATCTCGGAACGATAACCGATTATCTCCCCCGTGCTTCCTGCCAGCGCGTGCCATCCTCGGGTATACGAAAAAAAGGACAAAAACATGAAAACGAGGGCAAGACAATGACTTTTTATAGTTTTCTTTTAGGAAAATAATGACGCATTCGCTGTGAATCTGAACGCGTTCGTTATATTGCTGCGAAACGACGCTTTCTGTAGAGGAAAAGAAACGATGCCTACCGTTTTATCTTGTTATTACAGATCTTGTTTTTGCATTGAATACAAAGTCCCGAATGTATTACATACAATTTTTGGATTTTTAACGAAGCGGTAATAATTTCACAGTTCAGCTATGTTGTTCAACAATAATTAAATATCGCGCTACATTATAAAGATTAAGAACTTTTATTATTATATAAAAAAGTTAATGAATATATTAGCTCTTAATTAAAAATTAAATTTAATCGTTTTATTACTTTAATTGTTGTCTACCGTAGCGCAGGGAGTAAGGAAAGAAAGATGTGATAAAGACATTAGACACGTGATCGCTAACGCGGTTTTATCTCCTCTTCGGAGACGCACGAACAGTCAGCAAAGATCTTTTTGTGCCATCCTACGGTTTGCTACGAGAGACCGTAAGAACGATGCACTCGGTCGATAAAGCGTAAATCTTGGCCGCACGAAATGCGAGCTCGTTAAATTTACGGCCATGCCGCTTGTGTCATGGAACGCATACCTATAAATCCCGGAAGAATACCATTTAATGGGTGCACGCGGGGTTACGGGTCAACTTAATGTTATACGAGTAAACCGTCACTCGCATGCGCACTCGTGATCTTGCCGTTAAATTTCTTCCGTAAATTAAGGTTAAGATGCATAGATATGTGATTCTCGTTATCAATTCTATGAATATTCTAAATGCATAAATTATATTAAATTTGTGTAAACTGTTACGTTAATACGATAGGAAAAATATAAATATTGTTAAGATTGATAAGAAAAAAAATATAAATATAAATATTATTATATATTAGATTGACACATAGAATAAACCGAAATTTACGCTAATGTTTCGCGTAATGAGACTTTTTTTTATTAATTTGATTAATTTTTTAAAATGTGAATTATAAGACATTCAGATTGAAATTTACATCGAATTTTTGTACACAATTTTTGATAGTACATTTATTTTTCTATTTCTTTTTTATATCGTCACAATAAAAATTGCAAATAAATTAGGAAGCAAACTGCATTTTAATAAAGCTCATATTTGATAATTAACATACATATTTCGAAATTCAATTTTGATGTCTGCATATTCGGCATTATTAGCCGCAAATTAAAAACTAATCGTTAAATGACAAGCGCTGGTTGCAGCCAGTTGCTACACGTCATCATATGTTATCAATGCTCTAGTTTCTAAAATCCCGAACGTGATTTTCCTTCACACCGTTAATCGACTGGACACATTTTGCTGTGTAAGTTTGACAAACGACAATCCACGGTCTTTTCTTCCGTTATATCTCATGCACACCTGTATTCTTAGCTTGCAATTGGTATCGCGCTTTATAAGTCGCTACATACTGTTCCAATTCCATTTGCAGAACCTTTTATTTCCGAATATTTGTTTTAGCAATATAATTCCACATGGTCGCAGAAACCGCCTCCGGTCGTGCCGCTGGACACAGCACGAGGTGATATTCATATCGGAAAGCCCACAAACGGTAGCGATGACGATGGTAATTCGGAATGGAATTACAACACTGGGTTCACGGACGAAGGTACTTGGACAACATGCCGCCTCATGCTATGATTTATGTGAGAAATAGGAGGAAGCACAGTAACTTATTCCTATTCTTCTTCCCTTAATCTCTCCAGCACAACTTTTGTGTTGTTTGATAATATAAAAATTTATATGTCGACTTTCATGCTAAAGATGTTACTGCATTCGATAATTTTACCACAATATTAATATTAGTTGGCATAAAATTAGTTCGTGTAAAAATATTTATGTAAAAAACATGTGCGAGAGAGGGCTAATGTTGCATAAAAAAATACGCTTGCGTAAAAAATTATGTATGCATAAAAATTTATATCAATGTGTAAAATTGCGAAAGTTTAAAGAGTCGACGTGCTTTAATATCGTTCCGTGCAGACGATTCGTTTTCAAACTGAATATTATCGCGTGCAACGGGGCCATTCTTCTGTTCTTTAAAATCTGGCAATAATAGGGATAGATGTCGGAAACTGCTATTAAAAGAATCCTAACATTATACTCGCTGATTGGCATGTCTAGGAGACTACGATACGGAAAGGCGGAACTACAATTCTACTGGTCATCACAGTCCCGACGAGAGGACTCGATGGAATATTCACAGAAACAGGAGCGATCCTTACGATCCTCGATGGTACCATCGCAATCGAGCATCGCAGAGCGGCTACGACAATAGGTATCCTGAAAGTGGCAGTTCCTCAGGATCCAGAACTGACGAAAATCGACCGGATCCCGGTCACAGCGACGGATTCGACACGTATAGCGGTAATCATATAAAAAATTACTGAAAAAAATATGCCAAAATATGGATTTGCAGTTAGTCGGTCTTCCTTTTTATCAAATCATTCAGACAGCTCTAATAGTATGTAATTTTTTTAGGCGCCGGCGAAAGTGAGCGGGGAGGAGGATCCTACAACTATCAAGGAGGATCTAGTGATCCTTATGGCGGCAGCGATCCTTATGGAAGCCGTGATCCTTACGGAAGTCGTGATCCTTACGGAAGCCGTGATCCTCACAGAGGAGGCTATGGGGCGGGAGGTGCGGATTCTTATGGTCGAAGAACCGACGACGGTCGCGGCGGTGGTCGTGGCGATCCTTACGGAGGAGGTCGCGGCAGTGGCGATTCTCACGGAGGAGGTCGCGGCAGTGGCGATGCTTACGGTGGCGGCCGTGGTAGTTATGGCAATTATGGCGAGGACAACGAAAATTATCCGAGTAATTTTCAAGTAGTGCCTATGCCTGGGGCACCTCGAAACTGCACTGGATCTGGGTGCTGCGTACCCAAGTGTTTCGCCGAGAAAGGATCACGGGTTGGTTTCCGCAAATTGATAATAAAACATTAAAAATTTTAAAGCGGCAATTTAAATATTTTAATATCAATTTTCTAAAAATTGCGATAAATAAAATTGCACGTTATCTTATTCTTGAATTAAAATTAATTTTTTTACACATTTATCTCATCTACATTTGCATTTCTTGTAGATTTTCATGTAAAAAATAAAATGGATATTGCATATAATATGCTCAAGTTAGAAAAAATTTTGAAGGTGACAGAGAGTACGCATCACTTATTAATCGTTTATAATACTTTTATACTTCTTTAGAATAAGAATTTTAAACGAGAATTTATTTTATCGCGGTATTCTTTCATCTAGGGACCGCCAGGAATAGTCGGACCGCAAGGTCCTAAAGGACAACGAGGATTTCCAGGAGCAGAAGGTCTTCTAGGACCCAAAGGTGAAAAAGGAGATCCCGGCCCGCAAGGTCCACATGGTGCGAAAGGTGACAGAGTACGTATTTTTTTTTTTTGGTACAATTATGATACATTTAATCTTTTTCAAGGAATAATTTTATGTATTATTAAAGGGAAAAATGGGTATGCCTGGCTTTCCCGGTATAAACGGTGTGCCGGGAATACAAGGATCTCCAGGATCCCCTGGTTTGCCTGGTCGTGATGGTTGCAACGGAACAGATGTAAGAAGCAATCTTAAAATAATTTGTAATTTGTTAAATTTAGCATCTGTTACATCTTTATGACTACTAATTAATAATAAATTTATAATATATTTAATAATATTTATAATAAATAACACCAAAATAATTATTTAAGCATATTAATAATTTATGTTAATAACGAAAAGAAGTTAATAAT